TTTCTTTGATTTAAGTTAAAACTGGTTTTCTTAGTAGTAATGAGTGAACTCACCATTGAAAGTAGTTAGATTATGTAAGAAATCGGGTGATCAATACAATGTGGGTGGGAAAGGAATGGAAGACAATTGTAGACACCAAAGATAGTGTGAGAAGAGGGTGGGAAAGGACAGAGGGTCAGAAAGAGGGGTAAAAATAATTCTAGGAACTAGAAATGGAAAATTTTTTATAATATGCATGATTAAGTCACTACGCAGTATATACTGGAAATCACACTTTGTATGCTGTGATAATGCTCAGTGAATGAATGTAAAGAATGTAAATTAAGTTACAAAAAGAAAAGTATTAGGAAAAAAAAAATATCTATTCAATGACTGCAGTAAGATATATAGCCCCAGCTAGGTGCTACTTTATAGGGTGTGTAAAGTTAGACTTGTGTTCATGGAAATGTATATATCACCTGTGTTTGCTATGAAAATATTTAGATTAATTAAGGTCTTTAGTAATTCAATAAAATATGGGGGGGGGGGAACAGTATAGAAAGCAAACATAGATACCAAAGACAGTGCGGGAGGAAGGTGGGAGATGGCAGAGGGTAAGAGATAGGGAATCAAGGATGGGGGGAAAAAAAAGCAAAACATACAGAAAACAAGAAATGGAAGATCATTTGCTGACAATAACATGTTTGTTGATCTGCTTGATTGAGGCAATATACAGTGTACTCTGGATGGAAAATCTCATTTTGTATGCTGTAATGATGTACAGTGAATGAATGCAAACAAATAAATTGAAATTAAAAAAAAGAGGGGAAAAAAAAGAAAAAAATTAAAAAATGAAACAAACAAAACAAACAAAACACTGAAGTTTGCCAAACATTTGAAGATTCTATTTCTATTTTCTCTTGAGTTGTAATGTTTATGTTTGTTTTAATAAATCTTGCACAGTAGTAACAAAAAAAAGATTTATTTTCATTTGTTGTTGTTATTATTTTAGAGAGATTTTTCACTATAGGGTGCATGCGCTCACCAGACAGACAGAGAGAGACAGAGAGACAGAAAGCGAGAAATCACCCCCCAGAGGGGATGGCCATGCCACAATCCCTTCTCCTCCATTCTCCTCTCGGGATCTTGGGCACGCACGCACACGCGCCTGGCGTGGGTTTTAAGCCACCGGGTCTGGGACGCAAATCGCGGTTGACTACGTGGGAGTTCAGCGACATAGCCATTACGTTAACTGCTAGTTCCCTTGTTGTTATTATTTTTAAATTTGAGCAGAGAGAGACAGAGAGAGAGAGAGAAAGAGAAAGCAAGGAAGGAAGCCGCCAGATCCAAGACTTCAACCATGGTCGGCCATGTGGGAATCCAGCACCTTTAACCACCATGCCACCTGCTGGCCCTCCATTCTTGCTTTTTTATACTAGGTTGTCAGGAAAGTCATGACACATTTTTGCATAGAAAACCAGAAAAGTACATCATGACTTTTCCCAACAACCCAATAATTGCAACTGAACTACTGAGTAGACAAAAAAGCTGGAATTTAATTTGCTATATTATAAGATTACCTTCAAAGCAATAGAAGTGCTATTGGCTTACAAACTGCTTA